GGTAAAAGGTTAGTCTGATTGAAATAGTTCGGTTGTTAACTAATAGGAGATGATTTTAAAACTAGACTTCACTGAAGTTATTGGATACCGTAATTTGGGTTTATTTTCATATCACATTTGACATCTTAGCACAGTAGCACTTGTAGCACACTGAGGAAAAACTAATTATCTTGAAGTGAGAATTCTGTATAGTCTGTGCCTTTCATGTTTTCTTCCTCCTCTCTTTACCAGAATATGAACCTAACAGAAGATCAATGTCCAGTCAGACCCAGACACTCTATAGAGAGCAAAATTCTGAGGTGTTTTTAAACTATTGTATAAAGAAAGTGTAGAAAATACCTGAAACCATATCTGCTAAGACAGCCAACTACATGTTCCTCTAAATATTTATAAACCATGAACTACAACATCCACACATTTTTTTTTTTTATTAGTAAAGAACAAATGGAAATCATTGGCCAGTTTTTCTGATGGTCTGATTGGATGTGTTGCCTTTGCATCTCCTTCCTGACTCAAGATTCTTATTACACCTCAAATAGTTCTTAACATTTTCTTGTTAATTCCTCCAATTGCTTTTGAAGTTTTAGGTCAGCTTTTCCAACTTGAGTGCTTCTGTGTGTATGCTCTTGCTGTTGGGTAGCAGTCTTCTGAAATGAGAGAAAGTGTTTCTTTAAACTTCTCTTGGATGATTTTGTGAATAGATTCAATCTAAACAGAAAAAAATAAAAGCCTATATGCCACTTATCTATGTTGATTTATATATTTATTTTTAATTTTATTTATTTTTTAAAAGATTTTATTATTTATTTATCTGAAACAGTGAGCAAGAGAGAGACAGCACAAGCTGGGAGGAGATGCAGAGGGAGAGGGAAAACAGAGTCCCTGCTGAGCCTGGAGCCCAGCGTGGGACTGAATTCCAGGACCCTTGGATCATGACCTGAGCTGAAGGCAGATGCTTAACCTACTGAGCCACCTAGGTGCCCCTATGTTGATTTTTTTTTTAATTTATTTCCTTTGAATTATCTCAATGTTAGAAACTTGGCTACTTTAAACTTTGTCTTGCAGGTAAATGCTCCAGGCATAGTACTTAATTAGTGTAGGATGACAGAATATGCCAGAGCAATATATGCCACTTTGGCATAAGGATTATTTTGAGCTGAAGGCAACTGAGAAGCAGCAGATGCAAGAAAAGTCTTCCCCTCCACCAAACAGGCATTTGTCTAAAAGCAGGACATAAATTTACAAAGGTGTCCCTCCTCCCCTCTCTACCAGAAAGGACAAAAGTTAATCAGTGGAGACAACATTAAAGATTTATTTATTTTAGAGAGAGAGAGAAAGCATGAGCAGGAGAGGCAGCGGGAGGTGGGGAGAGAGTCATAAGCAGACTCCATGCAGAGCGCAGAGCCTGATGCAGGGCTTTATCTCTTGACCCTGAGATCACAACACTGAGATCAAGACCCTGAGCCGAAACCAAGAGTTGGACCCTGAGCCAACTGTGCCACCCAGATACCCCTAGTGGAGACAAGTTTCGACTCTATCAGCCTGGAGACAGCAACCAAGAAATCTACAGAACAAGCTTTACTAACTAGCCTTGATCTATCATTAGTTTCCCATATGTTTCCCTTTCCACAATTGGCTGCCCCTCGAGACTTATGGTTCTTTTCTTTGGTCTTGTCACTTTTCTAAAAATGTATTATTCCTCACTGGGTGTTATATGAAAACAATGAATCATGGAACACTACATCAAAAACTAATGATGTACTGGATGGTGACTAACATATCATAATAAGATAAAATTAAAAAGAAATGTATTACTCCTTTGTAAAGATACTACATAAGCCCAATTCTAACTAAATCTTTGAGTTACCCATCTCTGGGTACTCCCAAGTGCCACATGGACTTCTGAACCTTTTTAATAGACTTCTGTTTCTTTTTCTCCTATTAATCTGTCTTTAGCAAGTCTAATTTATGAGCCCTCCGCAGGAAAACCTAAGATTGGTAGAGGAAGAGATTTTTCCTCCCCTACATCATTTAATTCCCAAATCCTGTGGGTCACTCAGCAAATCTTCATGGCTATGTAATTTCATTCCATGCCTAGCCATAATATTCAGTATAAGAACCTTGAGTTCCAGCTATACAATGCTGAGAAAATCCTTTGTGCATCCAGCCTCCCCATATGGTATAGCTCTAAAGATGGATAGCAGCAACAAACCCAGTGAGTCCCTGTGCAGGGACTGAAATGGGAATGACAGATAGCATGACAAATAGAAGAAACAGTCAATTAATCAGTCAACTTTGATGCATGGTGCTCCTACTAGGGTCCATGCCAGACATTAAAGGAGGGGATGACATAGGCCTTGCCTTAGAAGGTCTGACTTGGAGATCAAATATTTATTCCAGTATTTTTAAATATTTATCTCAATATTCCAAAATTCCCATATTTATTAAATTCTTAATTTTTAAGAGCAAATGGTGACATTAAAAAGAGTTAAATACAGGGCGCCTGGGTGGCTCAGTTGGTTAAGCAACTGCCTTTGGCTCAGGTCATGATCCTGGAGTCCCAGGATCGAGTCCCACATCGGGCTCCCTGCTCGGCGGGGAGTCTGCTTCTCCCTCTGACTCTCTTCCCTCTCGTGCTCTCTCTCTCTCTCTCATTCTCTTTCTCTAAAATAAATAAATAAAATCTTTAAAAAAAGAGTTAAATATGAATGTTTTGTGGAATCATTAGTACTGACATGTTTAAGGAAAAAGGTTTTTTTGGTAGGACTTCCGAAGCAAGATTCCAAAACAAACATGAAAGGTATTGTATGATGCAAGAACCAGGTAGCAGAGAAGCTGAAGACAGACTAAAGGTGGCATATTCTGGAAATAGTGAGGAGATTTCACTTCAGAGAAGCTATCACCAAGACAGAGCCTGAAGTAACAGAAGACCATCTGTTCAGCCATCGGAAATGCCATGATTTACTCAGCATTCGGCCCACAATTCAAGGGACAAAGAACAAAAAGTGTTGAAAAAAAGTTCAGAAATTAAAACAGCTTTAAAATCATGTTTCTTGTGGATGGTCTGTTGACATTCTGCACATAATAGGTGTCCAAAGAATGCCAGAGAATTATTGTCTGGTCAGAATAAAATATGGCTCTTTAAAAGCTAAATTAAGGCTTCTATCTCCTGAATATGTTCTGACTTTGGAGATTTAGAATGATCAATTTCTATCACTGGTAGAGAGCCATACTCTGAATATTGAGTTTAAGATCTATCATTTGCTTGAGCTATATTATAGTAGTTTAATTTTTAAAACACTGCTGAAATCGTTTTCATACAGGAGCTAGATAATAGATTGTAATACAGATTAGAAGAAAATGCAGTACATTTCTTTGGGGCACAAAGCAGGTGCAGTTATGTCTCTGCAAGTGCATCTGATGCTTATGTATTTTAAATGTAAATTGTTTTCTTTTAAGAGAAAACGCTACATTGAATATTGATGCAAAGGGATTATATATTTGTGTTTTATTTTCCTGAGTTGTAATACTCATTTTCTACCTCTAATGAGAGTCCATGAAATATTCCACATGTTTGCAACAAATCTGGCTTTTAAGGAACAGATTTATATAAACTATAGCTGGGATTTTTCTGTGTCTTTATGCAATTTCTTTCTTTGTACTATTTTATGCAGGGTTATTATAATTTTATCTATAGATGTATTTAAGTATATTTTGAGTAGTACAGGAAAAATCAAAATTTGAAATTGAACACAGAACTCAGGATGAGTTATCAAGACAAATAATTTTCAAATAGTGAATTTTAGAAGATAAAATACTCCTGCAAAGGCTTCACTATATAGAGCATATATCTGAAAAATTTCAAGTTGTGACCTAGTAATCAAGGCTTTTCTATAAGACTGCCTACAATTATCATCATTAAGAAGGTGTGGATATTATATACAATAAACACTAAAGAGGCCTTCTTTGAAACTAATGGCCAATATAACTATAACTCAGAAGCATTTACATGAGCAGTTACATGAACAACTTTGTAATAAAGAGGAAGCCCAATTGTATAAGAACAAGTTGACTTCAATCCCAGTTTGAAGTTAGAGCATAAACTGGGACCACAGTGAGCATCTGTAATTACAGAGATGCGCTGTAGAATGGTATGTGTTCTTTTTCTGAAGCTCTTTCTGAAGAAGATAAATGAGGCATGACGATTCACTTTTTCACTGGTTGTGTTTTCGATACCTCCTTTGTAAAGAACCTAAGGTGGCTGGGAGAAGAAAGACCGACACATCTGGAAATGGAGATACCAGAATGGTCTCTCTATGCAGTGATGAGCAAAAAAATAGTTGAATTCATCCGGGTAGTGTAACTATGAAAAACAGAAAGACCATGTATGAGTATTGCTGTAAAAGAGCTCGAACTCCACAAAAATCAAGTAAAAATGTGATAACTCAAAAGAGAGTCTGAAAATAATGATGACAGAATGCATGTTTCTACCATCCTCCCCTCTTAATTCCAATCTGTATCCTGAACCACTGCTCTTGAACGAAGCACTACTGAGTAGACTGCTAAGGTCTCAGACTGCTGGGTAGGGAGGAAGTGAAGGTATAATTAAGCATTGTACTATCTAAATTCTAGGTTCTGAATAGCTGCTCCAATACTATTCAAAGCTGGTTTGAAGTGTGCTGGCAATGGGCTTCTTTCTCTTTGTAATGCATCCCATTTATTCTCCTAATAAAATCACAGGCCTAGAGACCTTCTGAGGCAGGCCCTGTCCTGATAAGCTTACCACATGGGAGAGCCAAACGGAACGGATCTTTTCCACAGATAAGCAGTTCTGAAACACAGAAAACTAGGAAGTGGTTGAAGCAAAACAGTAACTCATGCTGAAGTTTCTCCACATGAAAGCTTGAGGACAGAAAAGCAGAACCCCCGCTCCCCAAACCTAAACCCAAACTGGAATCTGGGGGAAAGAAAAGAAAAGAAAATGCACACAGAAAGTTTACTTTCTCTTAGCTACATAGATGCCTCGGGACCAAGCGTGGAGAGTTCTGGGGTGAGAAATCAATGCTGAGGACCCTGGAGAAGACTCCATGTGCACCAACCCAAGGACTGCTGAGAAGGCTGGCACCGGAACCGGTGTCTGGTCCTCGGAAATCCCTGGCCTTGGGAGAAATGTTGGAACGTTATACCAGTAGACACACTTTAATCGGCATTTTTGGAGAATAGCAAATTTTTCAACGAAAGAGACTATGAAGTAGAAAGCGTTTTTGATGGAACTTCAACAGAGGGCAGCCACCGCCAGCTTGTACATCACCAAAGCCCGGCTGTGCGCATCGCCGCGCTTCCTGCCACTCGCGTCCCTCAAGTTATCGCGATAGCGTGATCTGAATTATAAAGGCAAATAAAGCCCGGAGTGGATATATGCTCAAGGGAAGTCAGCGCCTAGAGACTCGAAGAGCCGTGAAAAAACTCCAAACAGGTAGGTTCTTTTAGTGAATTTGAATTTGGATTTCAATTTGAATCTAGCTTTGAAATTGAATCTGGAGGAAACCGATGACAACTGTTAAACAGAAACAAAAAGGGACCTTGAGATTAATTCAATTCTTTAACAATAAGGCTTTCAGGTACTAAAATATGTAATTCTCAAATTTACAAATTAGAAGAATTGAAGAAGTAAGTGGTGATTGTTAAAACTAGGCTAGTGTCCCATAATCTTAAACTGGTAAAAATGCAAAGAAATTGACAAGGGACTTGTAATGCATATCTGGGAAGTGTGCCATGTGAAATATAGAAGTTAAAAAGAAAATGAAAGAGGTTGGGGAGAGGTTATAACTACTGAAATGACAGAGAATTACCCACACTTATGGACATATGTACACACACACACCCACGCACACACACCCGCGCGCGCGCGCGCACACACACACACACACACACACACCCGGGAATGCTTTGGCAGAACTTCTGTATTCTAAAACTTTAAAAAAAAAAAAATTAACAAGCTTCCGGGCGCCTGGGTGGCTCAGTCGTTAAGCGTCTGCTTTCAGCTCAGGTCATGAGCTGACCGGGGTCCATCGGGCTCCTTGCTCAGCAGGAAGCCTGCTTCTCCCTCTCCCTCTCCCCCTGCTTGTGTTCCTTCTCTCACTGTGTCTCTCTCAAATAAATAAAATCTTAAAAAAAAAAAGAAATTAACAAGCTTCCAGACAAAAAGAACAAATTATTTGCAACCACCCTTTTCCCCCCTCAGTTTCCCAAAGCAACAATCATAGTTCTGGTAGTCCAACTTGTAAGGGGCACTTCTGTCCCCTACAGGAGCCAAACTTGCTAGACTCTTTTTTTTTCACCCAGGTCCAGAGCCTTGTAGGTCTGTAACTTCAGCACTGCTCACTGTTTCTTTCTTTCTTTCTGATTTTTTTAATTAATTAATTTATTTATGAGAGAGAAGGAGAGAGAACATATGCAAGGAGGAGAGACAGAGGTTGAGAGAGAGAATCTCAAGCAGATGCCATACTCAGGGCAGAGCCTGACTCAGTGCTTGATCTCAGGACCCTGAGATCATGACTAAGCTGAAATCAAGAGTGGGATACGTAACCGACTGAGCCACCCCGGTGCCCCTCTTTTTTTTAATCTAGTTCCTATCCACGGAAATGTTTGTCATTTCTTTTGATACCAGCCATGATTACTTTGTTTTTCTCTTTTATTATATTATTATTAATTTGGGGGCCTCTATTACATGAAAATCTTCTCTGTCTTTTACACATACTCACACTTTATTTTATTACCTTTGAAAGATTCCTAATCCCAATTCCCTCCCACTATAAGCATCTCTTCTTTTGTTCATAATTTGCATTCTTCCCAAACCACTATCCATGACTGATTTACACAACTGTGGATTTTTGAATAGCCTATTTTGGTGTGTTTTATGCTCATAAACTGCATTATGCAATACATCTCATTATGTAATGCGTCTCAGGAAAATGTCATGATTCTGGTTTTTACTGAGCATTTTACTTTTGATATCTATCTATGTTGGTGTAGACAAATCTTACTCTTTCGACTGTTAGATAATATTCCATCATAGGCGTATCACGCATTTTCCTTAATTTCTTTTCCTTGACAGCATTCTTAAATCCTTGCCCTGCAAAGCATGCTGGAGATGGACATCCTCACACCTTTCTTTCTGTCAATGTAGGAGCATTTCTATAAGAAATAGACCTAATTTTCAGCTGGATGGGGAGAGATGTATCTTTACCCCTAGCGATGCTTGGATGTCTGGTTTTTGACTCAGCCAAGGTAAGGGCAATGGAATAGTATTTGAAACTTCCCTGACAACATGCAAAGTTAGCTTCTTTACTGATAATTTGCCACTGGCCTAACCATTTGGATGAGACTGACTCGACTACTTACGAAACCACTGAGAACTTTTGGAGGGAGCTCTCCCAAAGATAAACTCCTTATGCAGATCTTGGCAGCTCAAGTCAGAGAATCAGCCCACTCCCAGGGCACAGAGATTAGTCCCACAGGAGTTCATACTGTGCATATCTCTGAGATATCTGATGCTTGCCTGCATTCAGTAAATAAAAGCCTCAAGTGGGTATATTTTTTGGATCTGGTGAACTGATCCAGGATCAGTTCAAATATCTGAACTGGGAAAAACAATACAGATCTATCCCCAGGAATGGAATTGCTGATTCATAGAGTATATTTCTGTTTATTTATTTTTTTAAAGATTTTATTTATTTATTTGAGAGAGAGAGAATGAGAGAGAGAGAGAGAGAACACATGAGAGGGGGGAGAGTCAGAGGGAGAAGCAGAGTCCCCGCTGAGCAGGGAGCCTGATGCAGGACTTGATCCTGGGATTCCAGGATCATGACCTGAGCTGAAGGCAGCCGCTTAACCAACTGAGCCACCCAGGCGCCCGAGTATATTTCTGTTTAATTTCAATAAATTGCAGAAAGTCCTCTTTATTGGCTTTACTAAACCAAAATGTCCAGGACTTCTACTTTTCCTCATTCCCTCCAACTGTGGACACCATCTGAAAATTTTAATTTCTATCAACATGTTTGCTGTATAAAGGTATGTTAGCATGACTTCAGTGTGCACTTCTCTGATTCCTAAAGTGTTTATATATCTCTTTGAAAATGTATGGACTGGCGGCGCCTGGGTGACTCAGACGTTAAGCATCTGTCTTCAGCTCAGGTCATGATCCCAGGGTCCTGGGATCCAGTCCCACATTGGGCTCCCTGCTCAGCGGGAAGCCTGCTTCTCCCTCTCCCACTCCCCCTGCTTGTGTTCCCTCTCTCACTGTCTCTCTCTCTCTCTGTTGAAAAATAAATAAAATCTTTAAAAAAAAAAAAGAAAATGTATGGACTGTTCAGGTTTTCCTTTTGTGAATTACATATTAATCCCTTGTCCATCTTTTTATTGTGCTTTCTGTCTTTTTTCTTGAGGAATTCCTTAAATATCCTTGATATTAATCTTTATAGTTTGTTTACTTTTCTGTTAGCTGAATCTATTATACCTCTACTTCAATTCCCTCTTTTATAAAGTAGAAACAGTAATAGTACCTATAGCTCCTTTTTTTTCCTCTAAAGATTAAATGAGAAATGCATGTAAAATACTAGTACAGCATTTGATTGAATTCAGTGCATAGTAGTTATCTATTAAGTTTTTCCTTTTTTCTTTTTTCTTTTTTTTAAAGATTTTATTTATTTATTTGAGAGAGAGAATGAGAGAGAGAGAGAGCATGAGAGGGGGGAGGGTCAGAGGGAGAAGCAGACTCCCTGCTGAGCAGGGAGCCCGGGACTCCAGGATCATGACCTGAGATGAAGGCAGTCGCTTAACCAACTGAGCCACCCAGGCACCCCTCTACTAAGCTTTTTCAAATTAAGCTAATACTTTTGTTGTTCTAGATACACATATAAATTTGAATTTAATTTTAATCTATACTTAAATTGAATGATTTCTTCTGTATTATATTTAATCCAGGACCAAAGTCTCAAGCTAGGTACAGGAAGTTTAGAATGTACACTATAGTGACAGATGGAGTAGATGCAGCTGGGAAATCAGAAGCCATTACTCTGCCCTTGAACTGACATCAGCCTGGCACTCCAGCCTGTGTGGGAAGCAGACTCTGCCCTTAAAGCTGACCTGCCTTTCTGCAGCAAGCACCTGACCTGGTGATGATGGAGGGGCCTACCTACACTCTCTTCATTTGGGCACAGTTTTATCCATTGAATCGATATATTTGTATTTTCAAAACTGCAACACTATCATCACCATGACTCTTGCCCCTAGTGTGTGATTTATCATCCAACATGTCAAAATACTTTGAAAAAGGTATCATGAAATGCAAAGTTTAAGTTGTATTTGATTTCTTTATGAAGAAGAATAAACCTAGAAGGGAAAGAATACAATACAAGAGAATGTCTTGATAGGAAATAGAAGCATTCATAAAGTCATGAGACAAAATATGTTTTCTAAAATTTGTATTATAGATATTGGCAAACAGAGATAGATATGGAAAACAATGGGTCAATTGGAATGCTCTTATGTGAGCGTAAATTTTTCTCTTAGTAGAAACTTTTCCTTCTGGTTACTAAACAAATCCTCTAAACATTGAAAATATTTCAGAAGTTCTCAGGAAATGATCATTAAAGTAAACTGCTAGTGTTTGACAAAATTCCCACCCTCGTGTCCATTCTTGGCCATTTCAATCAATACCTCTGTCCTTGGCCAGATTCCTTACCAGCAAGGAGTTCTGGGGAGCATTTTCTACTCACTTACTAAATCAGATCAGTATAAGATGCATACTGTCTTAAATTGTGTATGTTCAGCCTACACTGATAAAAATACTTACTCCCTTCAAATTAGTTCCTAGAGTAGTCTATTAAGTGGATGAAAGATCACATATAGGCACAGAGGGAAAACAGTACGATGTGAATTCCATTAGCAGAGACAGCCACAGGCAAGGGAGAAAGGGTGTGGCTTCATGTGTGTATAGACTCTCCTCTGGAACCTTCTTTGACTTTCCTAAGCAAAATCATTATTACCTCTTCCTAATTCCACAGGATGTACTTTCAGAATACTT